TTCCTGCTCAGAGTTCAGGCAAGGCCTAGATTAGGCCAGCGCTGTAACTGCAAGAACCTACTCAAGCTGGAACACGCCAATGCAGACTACATCTTTAGGAAATTATTTAACATCTATAAAGTCTCCAGTGGGTCTATATAAACCAGTTTTGCAAAGGTTTAATCAAGTGACAAAATCTGGGTAAATTTTCAGAGCACGCGCAAAAGGTATATCCTTGACACAACCACCAATCTATCAGATGTAAAGTCTGTTTCAAACCATAAAGCATTAGTATTATCTAAAGTAAAAGTCACTAAAATTTTTCCCTTGCCTTGTTCTCCAAAGGGCTGAATGACATGGAAAACTGCATTCCAAGTGACTAAACTTTGTCAGTATGGACTTAATTTAGGAGCTTACACAAAATCAAAACAGACATTACCAGCTTTACCTATGCAAACAAGAACTTAAATTACATGATTCAAAGGAAAAAAAAAATCAGTATAAGAATGCTTTTTAAACCGTAGTTTAATGCCTGTAAGAACTTTTTCAACACTAATGAAATCCTTCTTCAGTAGTAATTTTCCTTAGCCTCCAATGGGTAACAGGCACATCAATTTCTTCTCTTTTCTCAAAGAGAAACACAATGCCTTGACTGTAATCTCACAGACATTAGTAAAGTATTTAAAAATCCTATGAGCATTCACGTTAGAGGCATGCCTTATTGTCTTTCTAGAAGAAACAATTATAATTAAAATTTTTTGTGTTTAGAAAGACACCAGTGTTGCTGAAGAATACAGTTTAAGGATACAAAACATAATGACTTTGCACTAAAAGCATAAAATTATATGATCTCAGTGATACCAAAACTTGTAACTTCCAGCTTCAATAGTACACTTCGGGATCAGAGGTTAAAATTTTTCTTTTTAAATCATGCATCACTGTCAGTAATAAACATTTCCATAGTTTTGCAATTCTATTGAATGAGAAAATCCAGCCTTCTTGAAAACATGCAGTAAAAAAAAGAGAAAAGAAAAAAGGGAACACACCTAATCATTTCCCACCTTTTGCTGAGTTATTTTTCAATCCATAATACAGCCACAATTGAGATCAAAGTAAGCTCATAAGGAGAGTTTCCTTGATATAAAAGAAGAGAGTTGTTGTCAGGACTCAGTGCGAACTGTTTGACTTGTGCTCTCTTTCATTTACCAGAAACTGGTTTGTTAAACCTTTGAGTACAGGGAGAGACCATCTTCTTTTCAGCTTTTAAAAAGCGTACCAGTTTGAGGGAGTTGTTATAGTACTTTATGTGTTAATTCAATAGATACTTATTTAGGTTTTAAATATGACAGCCTTTTGCTGTAAATTTTGCATAATACTACCTACACAATAAATTCTACCTCATGAGAGTTCCTATGCCAACATCTGCAGAACACTATAAATACAAGAAAACATTTCAGAAGATTTAAATACGAATTCAACATTATTGAATGCCACCAGAGACTGAGTTTACAAATTCTGAAATTTTTGCCTCGTAATTTACAGGTTTGACCGTTCGCATTTTGCTTCAGTGACTTTTGATCTATGAAATGTTTCAAAATCTAATTTTTATATATTTAGTAAAAGGCTATCAAAATAAGCTGAGCCTAAAAAGAAATCTAGGAACACAGAGTTAATATATGTGGCAAAGCCCAACACAACAGCTCAGATAAGTGCCCATAAAACAGACTAATTTTAAAGCAATGATATTGTTTCATTTCCATTTGCAAGAGTAAGTTGAGTATATACTCTGTATATGCTACAAGATGACACATACCAGAAGGCTCCATTTTTCCTGCCTCTTGAACAGTTTTCTCTTCTTGGTGTAATACCAGCCAGAACCAATGAAACACTACACAATTCACTGCTATTACCTGCATCATGGGATACTTTGTTTCAGCGGGACTCCCAAATCCATTAACGCCAATGAAGCTGGTGCTAAAGTAGGAATCTGTGAGACTAGCATCAGCTAACCCACCGCCATCTATTCCGGGAACTAAAAGAAAAAAAGAAAAAATGTTTCAGAAAAAAAATTAGTTTACCATGGGTTTATTTGCTAATATCTCTTACTTTTTTTTTTTTGGCAGGGGGGTAGAATAGGAAAAGGCTGGTAACACTATTTCAAACCTATCTTCTCAGCAAACCAACTAAAAACACACTAGTGCACACAATGAAAAACTTTATGAAAGAGGTTGCTAAATGACAGCATATGCAGCATGAAGTTACAGCACAAATGCAGAAAGAGGCAGAAAACTAAAAAGCTTTGACAGAAACAATGAGGAGTTTGAACTTTAGAAACAAGAATAACAAGGCAAGTAATGATATCGGGAAGAAAAATCAACTAAAAAAACCTAGAAGGCAAGCTTATTTTAAGAAAACCTATATTCTTGCATACGCATCTTGGAAATATATCTGTCAAGTATAGTTTTAACTGGATGTAGTGGTTCTTTTAAAGGGTAACACACAGAAAATATACATTTAAAAATATCTCAAGTCCTCTCACACAAAGCACAAACATTTTAAAAGCTTCCTTAAGAGCATAAGACTACTTTTATTATCTCATACTTCATAAAGTGGCAACAATTTTATGAAATGTGGCCAAAAAACTCTTTTGGACTGAAAGCAAGTGTGAAGGATGTAAGAAGAAATTAATCCTCTGTTTAGAAACAAGGGTCTTGACATACAAGCACAGTACTTTAACCACAAATAAATGAATTCAATACTATGAGACTACAGAGAACAACAAGAAGCAGTCATAATTAACATTAAACACTCAAGCAGGTATTAGTTTGATAACAAAAAAAGAGTTTACAATGGTGTACAAGCTGCAGTTCGAATTAAGCTTCCACAAAAACACCCACAGCAAATTACAAAAACACTAATCAGTATGGCCAGGCCACTGCAAGCCAACAGGCATGAGTAATTGGTAGCTCCAAGGTAGGAAGGCACACATCCAACTCAGAAGAACATCCTGTACCAAACTATCCGACTTGAACTTCTGGGAGGACTCACAGACAGCCGGTGACACCCGGAAACAACTTCCTGATCCTAATCCTCAAAGGAAATAAAACGCAACTTTGTGGCAGAGCTAAAGGAATGCAGATCAGAACCTCTCAAATTTCATCAGAATGGGAATTTTCCCTCCAAAAGAGACTACATAACCTGGTGAGCCATTTCCATGCTGTAGGCACAGGAAAGAGCAAAATAACTACAGCCAGATGAAATCATAGGAAGGGCTGGAAGAGGAGAATGACTAGCAGCATCCGTATTACAGACAGATGGAAACACTGCCCAGCTGCACTCCCTGAGACTGGAGCTGTATGAATTAGCCAACCAGGGCTAACAGCAACAGCACCTCAAATGAAGAGCTCTACGTGGAGAGAGATCAAATAAACTAAATACTTCTGTTGCAATACAGATCAGCTTTGCAAGTGAAAAAGATTCTTAAGTATTGCTGCCAAGTCTAGAACATGATTTGTATACTCCGCAGGTTTGAGGGAGACACCTAAGGAACTTTAAAGATGCTCATTACTAATGAATTGCCACGTGATTTATTTTTTTTTTTAAAGCTTTAAAAGTTAGCTAAGATAACAGGAAAATAAAACTCCCTCCACTAGCCATACCCTAGATCCTCCTTCATAAGCAGCAGCCACATAGAAACTTCACCAGTCCTCTTGCTACACCCCTAAAAAAGACAAAGCTCTTCTGCTTTGTCTTTTAAACATCTGTGCCTCTTTTGCCTTCATATGGAAAATTTACATTCACAAGCCTAGGGTATTTTATGGTTGAACTATTGTATCAGGGAAAATATTAATGTCTGCAGTAATGTCAATTACTGTCTCATCCTACGTGCTACAGTCAGCCCCTGACTCACACTGTGAAGGTTAGTATTTTAACACAATCGTTTCCTGGCATCATGAAAAATACTACAACTCGTTCATACAAAAAACCCAAAAGACAGCAAATCCGTGTTTAATTATGAGCAGTTTCAGCCTAGTTTGCCTATAAATTATTCAGGGTTCACACTGTGATTTTTATTTATCTTAAAAATGCATTTCCAATATAGCTTTCTCCGCCTGCATTTCAGCCTTTATCAAAAACTGCTGCAGTTTTTAATGCTACATCTTGACCGTAAAAGACCAAGAAAAACTCTTTAATTTCCAGGAACAACTGTCTTTTCAAGGTACGCTATACAATTTCAGCAGTATATCTGCTATTTCATCTTACACTTCTGTCAGAAACTCCAGATTCTATCCAATTTTTAACAAACTAGCAAACGACCCCCTCAGATTACACCATCAGCTTTACAAATCCTTCTGCCTCTGTTGAAGAATTAAGAAAACAGCCGACTCCTCCTGCTTCTCCCACTGCTCCTCACTATGCTAGAGTCAATGTGACAACCCACGTACCTTCATTTCTCTGTTGGACACATACAATTAATGCACAAAATCCTTAAAACTGGCAAGAGGTAAGTGAAAGCTTGCAAATTCTGCCACATTCAGCAGCAAGGCATGTGAAGAGCCCCCTCAGTGTGAAGAAACCCCAGAGCTGACCTACAATAACTCCAGACAGCTGGTACAGCTGCAGTCACCCATTATCCAAACAAAGCACTGGAGCCGGTGCAGGCAGCCTTGCTAGGGCACAAATACAGCACCAGGTGCTCTCCTCCTAGGCTGGCTGAAGCACCCCCACAGCCAGGCAGCCCAAGCTGCGAGCAGGAGCAGGCTTCGGGCAGCAACCCCAGAGCTGGGCAAGGCTGAAGATGCTGCTGGGAATGACAAAGTTCATCTTTTGACACTGCTGCCTTTCCGCTGCTGGTATTTGCTACACAAGCCTATCCAAACCACTTAAAGCTGCTCAGGGCTACAATTTAGGCTTCCTGTTGGCACACCGATATCTAACTGGGCACTCCAGACAGCAAAAGCTACTCCAGAACATTTTCTTTTATCTAGCTGTATGAAGGCCATCTCTCTACTGAAGTGCAATGGTTTGGCCATACCGATCAGCCTCCTTGTGCCGTTACTACAAATTGCTGTACTCCAGCACTGATCCACCTTCGTACCACTCAATTCTACTGGTACCATAGCAATTTCAAGATGGCTTTCAACTATAAGACCTTCTATTGTCCTCTTCCAAATGGCCTAGAAACACACCTCTAGCAGAGGGATCAAGACCACAAGAAAACATATTCTGCAGGAACAATCAAAAGAAAACCATCAGAAGTAAGCTCAGTGGAGCAGGGGGCAGTTTTCTTGGCAGTAGTTCATATTTAGAACAGAATTCTCTAGAAGTGGTAAGTATAACTATTGCCTTCAGAAGAAAACTCAGCACTAGCTTCCTTAAACTAACTTCCCCACAAGCAAGAAAATTAAGACTAACAGAAAAGATGCAGCTTACATAGGTACAAAATAAAAAAAGTAATTCCTGCATTGCCTATAGAACCAAAAAAGACTGTTCACTATGTACTCCATTTCAGTTCAAAGAAGGGACATTCAGCTGTTACAGTGATGAAAGCTCAGCAAATACCTAACCAGCCAAGGCAGTTTTACTGTGTTTGGCACCTGGCCTTCTCCATGAGAAGTAGAAGGCTCTTATCCTCCTTCTGCCAAACATTTGGCAAATCATAAATTCTCACTTGCTTCTGGAAGACCACCGTAGTTCAGAGCACGAAAAAAGAAAAGTGATTTATCATAAGCAATCCATAGGAGGAGGTCTTCAGAAGTGGGCACACTTCACCACATGAGCAGCGTGGTATTAAAAAAAAAAAGTCTAAACAGGAAAGAGAAGATCTTATAAAGTTTTTATTCTCATGTGTTTACTAATTTATATCAGACACCGCATTCGATTTGTCTATCCATATCCTTTCTATATAACAATTGCAAGCACACACTTTCAAACACTCTGCACACACTGCCATTAGAATGACAAATAAAAAACTTATCCTGAGGTTTATATCTTTTCTCTTTTAAAGCATTGATTACAACTTTAGGTATGTAAGTTTAGACAATTTTAGGAAAGTCTTGAATTGCCTATTTTTGTCAAAGGAACATGACTTTCTGTTGTGTAAGAGTACTATCCATGCACTGAAGTTGTACATATTTTCAACAGGCTCTTCCTTGGAGGGAAGCAACTTCTTTGTAGAAGTAGAACGGTTGACTGGGCAGGTCTGAGAAGAAAAGATGGATGTGCAAGGGAACAACTAGGAATCCAGTGGGGAAAAAAATGCTAACATATTATGTAAGCACTTATGTGAAAACAAGAAAATTCTAAATCCCGTCAATATTTAAGCCAGAAGTTACATCCTGGCAATTCTGGAAAGAAATTAAATAAAACATCCTGAGAAATTCAGAAGATGTTTTCTACTTTTTAAACACACATTATCTAATAATTTTCTGCTTGGTGAGTAACACTGCAGCTTAATGTGACAAACTGCAATTAAAAATAAATATCTTCTTATATAATTCTTCTCCCACAGAATTTTAGCAGAAAGTAGGCTTCCCGTCAGATGCAGGCACCAAAGAGGAAAAAAAAATGAGATAGTTATTTTTGCCTTACTTATTACAAAGACATTTTTCAGGAACAAAGGATCCCATCACAGCTTAAGTGCTTGAGTACTACTGTGATGAACTCAATACACATGCTTCAACAGAATCAGTGGGTTTCGGTTGGTTTTAGTTTAACGCTTGTCTTGTCTAATACTAGCACTATCTGAAAAGATGGCGTTTCTGATATTTTCATTCTAACATTTCACTAACCAATAAATAAATGCTGTAATATCCTATACTGCTTCTTTTATGAACTTAGTATCAGCACTGATCATCTCAGAAACTGTTCTTAATATAAAAAAAAGGGTCCTTTGCAGGAATGTGATATATTGCCCCAAAAATGAATGGGCTAAAGTAAGATCACAACAGATTTTTGTTGACAACAGTTTAAAGATTTCTGGAGAGGTAATAAAACATGGATTGAAATCATTCATTTTGCTATT